CCTACCTGTGTTTAAACTGACTACAAGTTAGTTGCATCACAGAAAAAAAAATCCACCTCCAAAATCAGTGCATACAAGTAGTCAGACACATAAATCCTCCTTCTACTATATTAACCTTTCTTTTACTATGTGAAATGGACTAGTTTCAATGATCAAACTGAGGGTTGTACTCTCACCTGGGATCAGTGCATAATTTTAACTGAAATATTAACATTTCTTCTTTTTTTTTATGTTATTTCAAAGAGATTTGGGATATAAACATTTCTGCAAAATGCAAACACTTATTCATTTAACTTGTTTAAACCTAAACTTTTGGACAATTTCCTTCTTTACCTGGACATATAACGTTTTGTTAGACATTATGTTAACAAGTTATTAACAGGAATACATGTTAACATGAGCAACAAATCCTAATTAATACTGTTTTTTTTTTTTTTTTGGTCATATATTCAGTTAGCTAACTAGCTGAGAGAAATCTGCTGGGTGAACTGCAGAACCCCTTTTTAAACCCCCTTTTTAAAGCAAATGGAGTGTTCATATACTTTTATCAGCCAAGGAATATTTAGCATGTAAATATCCCTTTCTCATTTTCTTCATGCATGCCTTCTGCTCGTAACTCTATCAGCTTTAAGGCTGTTGCATACATGCATACACTTTTGGCACAAACATTTCCAGCTTTAACACTGTTGCCTAAGTATAGAAAAAAAAAGAAAAAAAAGCAGGAAAATAAATCTGTTCACCTATATGTACAATGCTACAAATTGGTGAGGAGAGCAATGTTCACTCCTAGCTCCAGAAAATGCAGCTACCCTTAAAAAATGTCTTTGATTATGTGCCTGCTTGTCTCGTTTTTAGGGTTTTTTGGGAGGGGTAGGGGACAGGTGGAGGAAAGGAGAGTCTCTTTTGATATTGCCTCAATTACTGAATACTGATAGGACCAAAGCCTTGCAAAAAATTCTGTTATTCAAAGTCATAAGTAAATAAAAAGTAAGATTTAGACAAAGATGCATTATCTTTTACTATAAACACTACTTTGAATTAGACCAAAATATTTAAGGAAAATATAGAAAATGCTTAACTGAAATTAAATAGACAATAGACATCAATAGACATCAATTTTAGGAAATACTTTCAATTTTACTTAGCATATAAAAGGCTCTGGATCACCATCAGACACTCGCATAATGGAAATTACTTCTAACACCTTTAATAAATTATAAAGGCTTTTATAACATCACCCAACTCCCATCAGTATTTGCCCAGAATTTGTTAGAGTAAGCCATTAACTGTTTCACCTTCTGGCTAATTAATAGTACTAAAACAGTCTGAGTATGGACTTGGTAGTAAGATTGAGACAATCAATCATGAACATATAATGTAACAACATATGAACAGCAACTGTAAAAATGTCAATATAACTATAGCACATTTTTTTTCCTCACTCACAAAGACTGTAGTTGCTACAATTTCACTGATTCTAGTGGGCAGTATGTCTCTAAAGGAGCACACCCTTCTTGTTTGGTGTGTTGTCATGTTGCGAGTGCTTATTTCCAAAAGTCTGTCCAATCACTTTTTCCTCCTCGTGTCTGACCACATCATCTTAGGAAACATATACCTAAGGAGGAGCTATATATATAGCTGCAAAACTGGCAGTTGAACTGCTAGGTTTAATATGTTTTTACTGCTGCCACTGACTGCCTTTCAGGACATTGTTTCTTTTTCCTGTGCCATTTTGTGCTATTGTTTGACCAACTATCCAGAGCTCTTTTTCTCTCTGTAACAGTCTTGCCTCATAAATCTTTTTTGACTTATTCCATCTTCAGTCTTCCTTAGCTGAATTTGTAACTGACCGCCTCTTACTCAATCTAATGATAATAGCTACATTTTTCACTTTTTCATCCTTTTAATGTCTCAAAGTCATTTCTTTCTTGACCTCACCTGCCTCAAAGTCCTCAGGCAGTAATGAAAAAGGGGAACAGCTTTCTACAAAGCCATCAGTAAAAATCCACCAGGGAGAAGGCAAGTTGAATCCCCAACAATATTTAATGACTTGCTCATTTCCTCCTCATTTCCTTTACATTACACATGGGAACCTTACAGACCAACAAGAATCACTATAGGCACAGCAATAACACTTATTGATCGTACTGTGCTTCATGTTTTCTCGGCAAGTCCTTACTGTCTATCCCTTCTAATCCCTGCTGGCCCTGTGCTGTCAGCTCCTTAGTCTTATTTCTACTGCTTAAGTCTCCAAAACACCTTTTCACTGAAAATATAGGTAATCTCTAGTAAAGGCTCACATCATTTTCTGCAAAATCTCCAATTTTCTTATGTTGGCCAGCAGACATTACCTTAGATTTTGCTTTCCATAGATAAAAAAAAATCAAAATTAATTCAAAATTAATTCATTTGAAATAATATTAATGAAATAATGATAATCTGAAACTTCACAGAATTCTTGAGTGACTGAGTACTTCAAAGTGCTGCAAATGGATCTTTAGATGCATGTTTCGTTCTTCATGAGAAGGCACAGCGTTCAAATTTTCTGTGCTATTTGAAATCAGTGATAAAGTATAAAATTAGTATGGGAAGCCACTACAATATACAGAAGTGTCTTCTTTCTCCATATATACCTCTCTAGGGTCTACTCAGTCTCACATACATAAGTGACAATTTCATATTCATCATTAGTTCAAATACTACTGGAGACTGTATAGAGCTCTCTATACTACCATGAAGTAGAAAACTCCAGTCCACCAAAAAAGCTCCAGGTATGATTAATGAAAATAAATATATTATTCATTTTTCTGGAGATGAAAACAATGAAGCGTCATTTCCCAGCCCCAGCACTCAAACTCACTTTATATTCTCATTTGAAGGTACTTCAGGAAGTTCCACAGTTATCATGCCATCTAGGTTGGTTTTTCCAATGAAGACTGGCTTGGTGCGCAGTACATCTGGCGCAGTCTTCGCTGTCACTCTGTGCTGAAGACCCCCAGCACTGTTTCCTCTGTTTGTCAGCACAAATGAATAGGATGTTTCTGGTTTCAAGTTCGTGATCAGCTTTTGAGTAGCACGTCCGTCAACCTCTACCACCATTTTCCCATCATCGTAGAGGATCTAATTTAATACACAAATACAAAGTGTCTTTAGATAGTGAGATATGGCCTCACTGAATTCATGAATTTATGAGTGAGCCTAGCCATGAATTTAAAATGAAACACTTCAGGTATTTTAGGCTGTAAAATTATACTAAATTCACTTCTGCAACAATTTTTTGTTTGCCTTTTAGAGAAAAAAATGTTTAAAAGTAGACACTGCTAAAATTTACTTCAACTTAATAAAATTCAATAACTGGGGTTGAGTCCACCATTTTATATCAAGGGCTGTTTGTGGGGTACCACTTACTTGTCCTTAAAGGTAACTTGAATATTTGATGAAATACTGCTCTTTGCTGGTCTTTTTGTATAATGACAAAAGTCATGGGGAAGGATTCAGAAGAAGCATGGACTTAAAAACAACAGAAACAACAGGCCAGACTGCAAATTACATTAAGTCTCATTATCTGGCTACTAAAGTTTGTGGCGTAGAAGAGTTACAAACCACAAGTGTGTCTTTGTAAATGTGAGGAGAGGAAAAGAAAATGGTTTCAGTTACAAGCCACTATAGAGATGAGGGAAATATATGTATATATATATATAAAAAATCTGAAATATAATAGCAATGATAGCAATGAAGTGAGCAAAAAGTTCACTTCATGGGTGATAACTAATATCTGACAGTTTGAAATGCTGCCACAACGGTGCAAGTCTATTAGCAAGTTCATCTTGCTAATAGACTGAATTTAAGTCAGGGGGTCAATAATGCTGATGAGTTTGCATTTTTAAATACAGCACAAGCAAAAAACATCCACATATTCAGTAAGCTACTTAACCAGATGAAATCTAGTCCTATATTTGATTTCTTAAAAATGGAAAGCAACTTACTTTGAAAGGCAAAGCTGAATTGTAATTTTCTGGAATTTCCCACGACAGCAAAACTGAAGTCTTCATTACTGCTTTAACATGAAAATTTTTTGCAAACACTGCTGGAAAAAAAGAAACAATGTATATAAACAGCACCTTGGAGCTTAGAAGTTGACATATTTCCACTGCTACTGGGGATCATTAGCTTTCCATTTAGGCCAAAACCTCAACACAAATTCAATTCGCCTACCTGCCTGTTCCTGTCATTTAAATATCACATTCTACCAAACCTCTTATACACTGCAAACTCATAGGTACATTCTCCTTACCTGAAATAATTGTGAAGAGGTTGCCCAGAACTTGCTTGGCAAAGGACAACTGAATTCTAAGCCATCCAAAACATATTAAGATTTACATACTTTACCTTTTGTTTTTGTTGAACCTATTTTTATGAATGGGCCGGTCAGTTTTATTTACAGCTTCAAAAACACTGATATCCAAAGATCGACATTCCTTTAAAGGTCAACGCCATAAGCAGACAAATCCTACCTTGATCCACGGGTAGTGTCCTGAACTGGACACTTGGACTATATGGACCAGGCCCTTTGCTTGTATGGGCACGTACTTTTACATCATATGTGGTATCTGGTTTTAAGCATGGTATATTTGGTGATAATGCCATTTCTCTCTGCCAAGACTGGCATCTGCCAAGTTAATTGAACTGATGTAGAGGTGGAGCTTTCCGAGTGGAGGTTTTGGGGAAATCCACTGGGTACCTCTTCAGGAACAGAGATCTCTTTAACCATCTCCTCCCCAAAGCCCACTTTATTTCTAGCCGAAAGCCTGAAGACATAAGAAGCTCCCTTGTGAATGTCTGTGGCTGTGAAGTGGTCTTCCTTCTCTGAGAACTCCATGGTTGTAAAGGCATCCATGTCCTTGCGGCCAAACTTCAGGCGATAACCCTGCAGCGGGCCAAAGGTTTCGACAGGAGGGTGCCATTGAATAAGAGCCGTGTTCATCTGCGTGTGGCTAATCACGAGACGAGGTTTGCCTGGAACTGTAGCACAATGTTATTTAAAAGATGCTAAATACAAATGGAATTGTACATATAATTCTTACTGAATTGAATTCTTGAATTTTGTTTTAACAGGAAGGTGGGTGAATTTTCTTTTCCCTCACTCTTTGTTCCACAAATTACTATCTTGTGGAAGAAATTATGTTTGACTTCCTGCACTATTGAGTTACCAAGCATTCAGGATTTGAATAACAAGGTCACCTATTGTTTGTTGTGTACTACCCTTGCGTTAATTCCTAAATATAGAGAACATTCAGAGCCACAGGACTTATGAACACAAGTCAAGGAGTAAAAATTAAAACAGACATCGTATGAATGCATCTGTTTCACTTACAAATCCTTGCTTGCAAAAAAAGAGTACTGTCATAAGTATTCATTAACTTAATCCAAGACACATTTCTGCCATCCTGTAAATGGAAAAAATAATAATTATAATAATAATGAAGATATTGCATGTTTCTAAATTTGTCTGGTGTAAATCTTGTCATCAAAAGTTAAAATAAGGTATAAGGATAATAAGGCTAACCGTGCCCTCACCAGTCATGGTATTATACACCGTGGAATATTTTAGTACCCATCTAAATGCATGTATTACCTCCAGCATCATAACTAGTTTCAGCTTAAAGCAGCAACACAGTCTTACATCAAATCTTTTGATTATTCCTGCTTATCACACACTGTTTTAGTTTCCAGAATGGCTGGTGCATGTGAAATGGGCTTCTTTTGGGGAAGCCAGATAAACCCATATTGTTATTTGGGATCCTGGGGTCCAACCTGATAATGGATGCTTAAGGTTCACACAGTAAGTGTGGTGAGGACATGCAGTTAGAAGATTAAATTAACCTAATCTAGGGTAAATTCCCATTACACACCTTGCACGGTATATACATTTTGAGGTCTCAATATCAATTTCTTTCATTTGTGTGTTTCTGTTGCAGTGAATTATACAATAATGAAGCATATCTGTAGTAGTATTTAGAAAATTGATCTTCACTGTGTATCAAAGCCTGACAGGTCAAGAAACTGGCGTAGTTTTAGGAATGGTAGTGCCATGGTAACAGTCTTGAAGACTAATTAGCTCCTCGCACATTCAAAGCCTTCCCATAAGAAATGTAATTGCTGTGCTGTGAGTTCAGGTTCCTATATTTAGACACTTCAGTGAGTTTATTTCTCAGGCACCCAACAAATCAGATTCTTGTCTAAGCTTCTGACTACTGTTCAAAAATGAATTAGGAAAATGGAGACAGGAATGACATGGCTTGAGGAAAATTCTGCAGTTAGTAAGTTCTTTCCTCATTATGTTTTCTCAAGTCCAGACATTGTATCCAATTGCATAAAAATTTTATTTTAGTTTTCATATATTTTTTCCAAATCCTCTTCATTTTAAGTTTCTATTCTGATGCAAATGTGTTCCTAAATTTTTTTTTCTCCTGCACTTCCTGTAGCATAAAGAACTTATTCTAATTAGTTCTAACTTTTCTGAAATGATGAGCCTTTACGGAAAAAAAAAAAAAAGTGAAGGCTTTTTGTAGGCTATATTTTTCTCTGTATTTTAGTTGCTACTAAAACCCAATGGAACATATGAAGAAGAGTCCACAGAAATAGAATAATAATTCCTTCATGTTTTTAAAGCAGAAAATTGCTGGAAGGTGTCACTAAATTAAATAATATGATAAACAGCTTTCATTCTTGTGGCAAAGCTCACAGTTTGAACTATTCTTTAACCTTGGTGGTAAATACAAATAAACTAAGAAATTGCTACTTGCTCTTGATCAGAGCAGGGGCTTAATAAAGTTTGCTTATCTTTTTTTTTTTTTTAAATGATAAAAAAGTGCTTATATTTTCTGATGGTAAAGAACAACATTTACTCTTTTTGAAATGTAGTCTATGTGATTTTATGATGTGTATGGATTACCTTTTTGTCAAGATAACAATTCTTGATAGGGAA